TCCTGGGCTCAAGTGATTCTCCTACCTCAGCCTCCCAATGTGTTGGAATTATAGGCATGAGCCACTGTGCTGGCCTGTGTTTCTTCTTCTGGTAAACTCTTTGTTATCCTTTGTCCATTTTCTGTTACACTTTATGATTCTCTATAATGGGTGATCTCACTGGTGGAATTGGTCTCATAATCTGTACTTTGGCATTTCTAAGTTAGCAAAACTAGAGAAGATTTAGTTTTCTGCAGCTGAAAGTAAATGTTAGTTTTTGCTGGGCGTGGTTGCTTAGCCTGTAATCTCAGCACTTTGGGAGGCTGAGGTGAGTGGATTGCCTGAGCTTGCGGGTTTGAGGCCAGCCTGGGCAACTTGGCGAGACCTTGTCTCTACAATTAAAAAAAAAATTAGCCAGGCGTGGTACCGCACGCCTGTAGTTCCGGCTACTTGGAAGACTGAGGTGGAAGAATCCCAAAGCCCAGCAGGTCGATGCTGGGTTGGCCGTGGGCAATGCCACAGCACTCCATCCTGGGCGACACAGTGAGACTCCAACTCAAAAAAAAAAGTTTGTTAGTTTTCTGTGCTACATAACAAATTGCCACCAACTTAGCAGTCTAAAACAACACCCACTTATGTCATGGTTTCTGTTGTCCAGAGGTCCAAGCATAGCTTAGTGGTTCTTGATCAGGGTCTCACAGTGCTGCAATATAGGAGTTGACCGAGCTGCATTCCTATCTGGAACTCAGCATCCTCTTCTCTTGGTACCATTCGGTTCCTTGCAACTGCAGGACCGAGGTCCCATTTTCTTGTTGACTGTCTGCTGGGGGCTGCTCTCAACTTCTGGAGCCCCCTGAAGCCCTTGCCATAGGGCCCTCTCGCTGACCCTGCCACACAGCAGGTCACTCTTTTAAAGCCAGCAGGAGAATCTCTTGCTCCAGTCTCCTAAGCCTGAGACACACAGAGTGGACTGTAATCATGGGATGACTAGACTATCACCTTTGCCACATAGCATAACCTAGTCCAGGGAGTGGGCTATCCCCTTCACACTCGAGAGAAGGGGTGTTATACCAGGTATGCACCCTAGAGGGCCAGGATCTTGGAGGCCGTCCTAAAATTCTGCTTCCCACAAAGCTCTTCTGGTTTCTGCCACTTTCAGATTGGCCAAGCAATCAACATTACTCCAATAGTACGAGACATGGGCTTTAACTCTCAAGAGCTTAAGTTATAGCCAAGAGGAGAACATTACAGCAAGAACTATTATAGTCAATAAAAGATAATTACATAATAGAGTGCACAGTTATACAAATTAGACCTCATATGGGATAAGGATAGAAGATATATAGAACAGGATCATTGCCAGGCACATTTAGGGACGGTATCATGAAGAAGTTAGGTCTCAACCTGGATTTTTCAAATAGGTTAAAAAAAAATCCAAGCTGGGCTTGGTGGCTCAGCCTGTAATCCTGTGCCTTTGGGAGGCTGAGGTGAGTGGATTGCCTGAGCCTGCGGGTTCGAGACCCACCTGGGCAGCAAGACCTCATCTTTACAATAAATAAAAAAATCAGCCGGGCGTGGTAGTGCGCGACTATAATTCCGGCTACTTGGAAGGCTGAGGCGGAAGGATCGCCAGAGCCCAGCAGGTCGAGGCTGCGGTGGCCGGGAGCGGCCACTGCACTCCAGTCTGGGTGACAGAGTGAGACTCCAACTCAAAAAAAAAAAAAATCCAGTGTTGAGGTCAAAAAGCTAGTTGAGGAATATATACATTGTATCATTTACTTAAAATTTTAAATTCATACAGAAAATTATATGTATATACATATATATAGATGTTAACTTTATAGATGCTTGTGCATTTGGATACTTATGTATATCTCTTTAAAAGGACTAGAAATACAGCAGTCATGACAGTGATTCCCGCTGCTGAAGTGGGATGGAGAATGAAACCACCTGGGTGGTCATCAGAGGGAACTTCAACTTTATCTGTTAAATTTAATTTATCTGTAATATTTAATTCTTTAAGAATGGAAGGACTAAAGTTGAATAGGCACTGAGAAGATTAGAAGGTATATGTTTAGAGGTAGTAGAAAATAATGCTGTATGAGCAAACTGGAAAGTGAGTAGGCAAAGGGATATGCCATTTGCTAAGAAAAAGGATGTTTTTGTAGTGGGAGAGTGACTAGGTAAATCTTATAAACTGAACTCTATCCTAGAGATCTTCCAAGTAAGGAGTCTCTTCTATGGTTTGGTTTTGGTTTTGGTTTCTGTTTTTGTTTTTTTTTAATACAGGTTCTTGCTCACTCACTTAGGCTGGAGTGCAGTGTTGTGATCACAGCTCACTGTAACCTTGAACTTCTGGGCTCAAATAATCTACTTCAGCCTCCTGAGTATCAAGGACTAGAAGTGTGTACCACCACACCTGACTAATTTTATGTTTTGTAGAGATAAGGTCTGGCTTTGTGGTCCAGGCTTGTTTTGTATTCCTGGCCCAAAGCAGTCCTCCCGCCTTGGTCTCACAAACTGCTGGGATTAAAAGCATGAGACCTGGTGCCTGGCTATGGTGTTTTTGATAGGGTTTCACCTAATTTATGGTTAAACTCTTCTAATGACAGGGAGCTTATCATCTCAAAATCTAACCTGTTCTCTCCAAATGTCTCTGAATTATTAGACATTTCTTCTTTGTACAGAATCTCTAATTTGTCTCCCTGAAAATTGAATCAGTCATTGCTTTGTTAAACTCTGATGTGTACACATGGCTCTGAGTTATGGCTGCCATGTTTCCTAGCTTTGATCCCCTCCTCTACCTTGGGGAGGTGACTCTCCTCTCTCTCTTTCTCTCTCTCTCTCTCTCTTCCACTCTCTCTGTCTCTCTCTCTTCCTCTCTCTCTCTCTCTCTCTCTCTTCCCCCCAATTTACTTTCTAAATAAACTATATTTTTCAATTAAAAAATTGAATTATCCATTCACCAAATATTTGAACAGCTATCATATGCCAGGTATTCTTCTAGATACTGGGAATACAGTAGTAACTGATACAAGGAAGGTTTCTGCTCTAATAGGATGTGCTTTCCCCTATCCTCAATCCCCCTCCAAGACAGTAATAAACTAAAAATATCAGATATGTGCTATGCAAATAGAAAATAGGGTGATGTCATAGTGACAGATTGACTCTTTTTTTAGTAGGACAGGAAAGCCTTCTCTGATGAAGTGACATTTGAAAGTCATATCTAGGGGTCGGGCTCGTTGGCTCAGTCTGTAATCCCAGCACTTTGGGAGGCCAAGGCGAGAGGATTGCCTGAGCCCACGGGTTCGAGACCCACCCAGGCAACTTGGCGAGACCTCGTCTCTAAAATAAATAAAAAATTAGCCAGGCGTGGTAGTGTGCGCCTATAGTTCCGGCTACTTGGACAACTGAGGTGGAAGGATCGCAGGAGCCCAGCAGGTCGAGGCTGTGGTGACAGTGAGACTCCAACTCAAAAAAAAAAAGTCACATCTAGAATACATCAAAGATCAGTTGAAAGGGCATTCTGGACTGGAAAACAGCGAATACTTTAGGACAGGTGAAAGCACAGTATCTTTTTAAAAGAGTCTAAGAAAGCCAGCCTGCCTAAAACCTGGTATGCATGTTAAGGGGAGCGAGGAGGCTGGAAAAGTAAGCAGGACTACATCAGGTAGGGCTTACCTGTGTGTCAAGGTAAGGAGTCTGCAGTGGGAACCAAAGTTGTGAATTGATTCTTATTTTCAAAAGATGACTCAGTCTGCTATGTGAAAATGAATTATACGGGGTCAAGAGAAGAAGCAGTATGATAGGTTATACATGTATCATAGTAATTAAATGATGGTAGAGGTTAGACAAGGAGGTGGGAGTGAGAGAACTTGGTGTGTGTTTTGAAGGTAGAGTGAAGAGAAGTGCTGCTGGATTAGATGTGGGGTATGAGAGTGAGAGGATCAATTCTGGGCTAGAGCACTGGAGGTGCTGTTTCTTGAGGTGGGATCCTGGGGAAGGGCAGGGTTAGGGTACAGACCTCAAGAGTGTTATTTTGGCCATACTAAATTTGAGATACCTGCTAGACTTCTTCTTTTTTTGAGTTGGAGTCTCTACTCTGTCGCCCAGACTGGAGTGCAACAGCTGCTCCTGGCCACCGCAGCCTCGACCTGCTGGGCTCTGGCGATCCTTCCGCCTCAGCCTTCCGAATAGCCAGAATTACAGGCATGTGCTACCATGCCCAGCTGATTTTTTTATTTATTGTAGAGATGAGGTCTCGCTGCCCAGGCGGGTCTCGAACCCGCGGGCTCAGGCAATCCACTCACCTCAGCCTCCCAATGGCGCGGGATTATAGGCTGAGCCACCGAACCCGGCTTGAGTTGAGCCTTTTAATAGCTCACTGCTGGGGAACTACTGCAGTAGCATCCTGAGTAAGCCCGGCACCTCTATCTTCTTCCTGCACCCCGCCATCCTGACATGATCGTTCACTGGACCTTCATGAAGCGTGTCTTTGAGAATGCCATGCTCAGTAGGCCTCGGGATTCCCACCACCTAAGAGAATTCGTTCAGACTCTTCATACGTGTGCCTCTGTCCCATCCCTTTGGCTCCAACTTCTTTCATTCCCTCTCTGCAGCCAAGTCTTACCTGTGGTATTTGTTGTTCCTCAGAGGTTCCTTACCTCTGCTTTTTAGTTAATATTATTCAGATGCCACCCATTGTTCATGTTATGTTTCAGATGCCACCTATGCCATGAAACTTTGCCTGACCTTTCCTATAGAAAGGAATAGGACCTGTTCAGTTCATGTACTGCTTTTATTCTCTCTGGCCCCTCCTTGCAGACTCATAAGGTCACGAGGCAGGACCCCTTTACTTGCCTTTGAATCTGCTAGGAGTAAAAGAATTTTTTTTTTTTGAGTTGGAATCTCACTCTGTCGCCCAGACTGGAGTGCAGTGGCCACTCCCGGCCACTGCAGCCTCGACCTGCCAGGCCCCAGCGATCCTTCCACCTCAGCCTTCCAAGTAGCTGAAACTACAGGCGCGCACTACCACGCCTGGCTAATTTTTTTTATTTATTGTAGAGATATCTCGCCCAGTTGCCCAGGCGGGTCTGAAACTCGCGGGCTCAGGCAATTCACTCAGCCTCCCAAAGCACAGGATTACAGGCTGAGCCACTGAGCCCCAGCAAAAGAACTATTTTTAAAAGAGCTATTTTATTAGTTGCTTTTATTAAATTTTGACTCTGAACCATGTCAGGTAGACTGTAGCTTATTTTAAAGTACATATGTCTTCATTGACTCCATGGTAATTAAGTGAAGAACAGTATGTTACAGATTGTTGAAAACTGGTTGACAATTTATTTGAAAGTATGTTTTGTTTTTTAAAAAAATCAACCCAAAACCTAAGGTTTTATTAAGATCCAAAACTTAAAGGCTTAAAAAAAAAAAGTTGACACTCTGATAGAATATAGATCTAATTTAGTGCTAAACAGAGTCTTTATTTTGAAATTGTTATACTTGTGAGCTGGCAACTTGTACTGACTTAATTTTTTTCTTTCTCCCTAGCATGGAAGATGAAAAGGAAGATAGTAAAGTTATACCTTCAGAATGTGCCATCAAGGTATTTAAAACAACCCTTAATGAGTTTAAGAATCGTGACAAATATATTAAAGATGATTTCAGGTTTAAAGATCGCTTCAGTAAACTAAATCCACGTAAGATCATCCGCATGTGGGCAGAAAAAGAAATGCACAATCTCACAAGGTAAAGAAAACCATGTGCTGGATGTAATCTTGGGTAAATAACTTTCTGTTAGGACAAAAAAAATCCCTGCTAGCTTTTAAATTCATTGTAGAAATAGTGAAAGGCCAGGCATATAACCTGAATTCACACTTGCGGGATTAAAAGGCTATTTTCTTTTTCTTTCCTCGGTGAAGTTTGAGGGAAACTAAGGCATTTTCTGCCTCAAACATTTTATCATCTATCTAAATGATATCTTTTAAATTGTCTTTCTCAAGAAGTAAAAATTCTGGTATCTACTTAGGCTTAATATAAAAAATGGTTTCCCTTTTTGTTTCAGATAATGTTATTTATTACATCTGTTAATTTTTAGTTGTATTTTGCTTTCATTGATTAGACTTGTTTCTCAATTTTCTAAGCAGTTATTTTCTATCAAAGAATTTGTTTTATCAGCCAAGAAATTCAGTAACAACCCCTCCTGTTAATAAATCTCCCATTATCTTAATTGAAAACTTTAGGTCGGGCTCGGTGGCTTAGCCTGTAATCCTGTGCTTTGGGAGGCCGAAGTGAGTGAATTGCCTGAGCCTGTGGGTTCGAGACCCGCCTGGGCAACTTGGCGAGACCTCATCTCTACAATAAATCAAAAGAATTAGCCGGGCATGGTAGCGCACGCCTGTAGTTCCAGCTACTTGAAAGGCTGAGGCGGAAGGATCAGCAGAGCCCAGCAGGTGGAGGCTGCAGTGGCCGGAAGCAGAGTGAGACTCTAACTCAAAAAAACAAAAAAAAAAAAAAAAAAGAAAGAAAGAAAACTTTAGTTTGTTATTTTCTTGAACTCCTGACCTCAAGTAGTCCTCCCACCTAGGCCTCCCAGAGTGCTGGGATTACAGTAGTGAGCCACCACACCTGGCTTAGTTTGTTATTTTCTAAAGATGTTTGCTTTCAAAAGTAATTATCTGTATATGTTAGTTGCAAAATCCTTCTACTTAGAACTCTGAGTAGAATAATTTCCTAGGAGGTCTTGGGGTTCTCTGGTCTCTCTTCTATAGCACTGAGATGTTATCCCTGCCCCTCTTAAAATTCTTCAACAGATTTCTGTAGTCAACAGTGTAAATTCAAAGAATTTTCATGATTTGGAGCTTGCCTTTCTCTGTAGCCTCAGCCCACATTTCCCTTTCTCCTGCTCACAGACTCAGCTATGTTGATTAGTCTCCATTCTTCAAATAGACTGTGCTCTTGAAGGCTTCCTTGTGCTGTCTTAAGCCGGCTAATTCCTGGTCCCCGCCTGTTCTACCAAGCCTTCTTTGGTGCTGTGTGCTCCCATAGCTCCCACCAGTATCTCTGCCAGTGCATATATCATGGTGCACTATGATTGTCTCCTTACTAGCCTGGCATTTCCACTAGTCCATGGGTTTTTTATGGGCAGAGGCTGTGTCCTATTGTTGTCTTCCCACACTGGAAATGTAGTGTAGGGTAGAACACAGCGCCAGCCCATTGCAGGCCCTGGTTAGGTATTTATTGAATGAATGCCATATTTTCTCTTTCTGACCTTTATATTCTTAACAATTTCTTTCTGTATAGAATGCAGAGAGCTGGAATTCCTTGTCCAACAGTTGTACTACTCAAGAAACACATTTTAGTTATGTCTTTTATTGGCCATGATCAAGTTCCAGCCCCTAAATTAAAAGAAGTAAAGCTCAGCAGTGAAGAAATGAAAGACGCCTACTATCAAACTGTTCATGTAAGTTGTGCCTTTAAAAGCATTCGCACACCAACTTTTAAAAATGTTTCCTCTAAGCCGGGCTTGGTGGCTCAGCCTGTAATCCTGCGCCTTTGGGAGGCTGAGGTGAGTGGATTGCCTGAGCCTGCAGGTTCGAGACCTGCCTGGGCAACTTGGCGAGACCTCACCTCTACAGTAAATCAAAAAATTAGCCGGGCATGGTAGCGCTCGCCTGTAGTTCTAGCTACTTAGAAGGCTGAGGTGGAAGGATCGCTAGAGGCCCACAGGTTGAGGCTGCGGTGGCTGGGAGCGTGCCACTGCCCTCCAGCCTGGGTGACAGAGTGAGACTCCAACTCAAAAAAATAAAAAAATAAATAAAATGTTTCCGCCAACTTAGTTCTTTCAAGTTGTCCTATTTCAAGATTCTATAACAAGGACAAACTGAGGTTTGTGAAGGCATTTTACACTGAAGAGTTGTCCTTATATCAATATGCCTTGAGTAGTTTTTAGAAAACTTACAAGATTTAGGGAGCAGGGACGTCTTCGTTGTTACATTAGTGACAGCACATGAAGTTTTCACAAAACTTCCTTAAATAAAACTTGAAGTTAATACATGTAACAGATATAGTGCCTCATTAGTTTGCGTCCTTTCTTGAATGTCATGGTGCCAACAGTAAAGGAAGGGAAGCAGATTTGGTCTCATCCTAAGAAACTGATGATGAAAATTGTAAACAAGGAGTGCTGGTGTTAGAGTTGGGAGTTACATGCCAAGAATCTTGAGGAAACTTCTCCTGCTTTGAAATAGCAACAAATTAAATCGAGAGCCTTAGCTTAAGGAAACACTCCTGAAACTGTCATTATGCCTCTGAATTGTTTTACTTGAGAAACTTAATGTGCTGCGTATGCAGCCTCTGCATGAAGTCATCACGTCATGCAGCTGCTGTGAATGTGGAAATGTCAGTCAAATTGGTTTTTAAGCTACAGCTAAAACTGATCCATCTTTCTCTGCCTCCAGGAGGAAAATAGTGAAAGGAAAATCAAATCCATTGTTCTGGCTCCTGTGGGAGGTGGGTGGCTGGGAAAGAGATGAAGCAGTGATCAAACTTTCCTGTTTAAGTCCATTAATGCTGCCAAGCAAATGCATTAATATTGGTTTCTGCTATAAGACGAGGGGTCATCATCCAGAATATGAATCTATAATGCCATTATTTATAAGAACATCACTTTCCCACTAAGTCTGGTAGGAAGTACTTTTCACCTTGGAATTGTTTATACCCCATCCTGGACATTTGTGCTTCTATGAAGGGAAGTGGCTTCCCTAGGTCCTCTGGTTGGTGACAATCAACAGAGTTGCTGTATTACTGTTGTGAGAATCCAAGTCTGACTGTTGGCTTCCTGATCTTGCTGTCACAAGGGCAAGGAAGCAGAGTGTCACAAGCTGACCCCCCTCCATTATCTCTCACTGTTCCTCCACACTACCTAAACAGCAAAAAAGCACAGTCCTAGACTGTACAAAGCCAAGAGAAAATACAGTCTTTAACTTTTGTTTTACTTTGTCTAAACAATATTGGTTGATATACACATTTTAATTGTATAGGTAAGTAGAAGTTCCCTTCATTTTCTAAATGTTTGCTTCCCTCCTCACAGTTAATGCAGCAGTTGTATCATGAATGTACACTTGTACATGCTGACCTCAGTGAGTATAACATGCTGTGGCATGCTGGAAAGGTAAGGAGGACATTTTGTCAATGTTCAGATTCAATTACTCAGTGTAAATTATTGAATGTAAATACATCTATCTATGTTCTATATTTAAATAGGTCTGGTTGATTGATGTCAGTCAGTCGGTAGAACCAACCCATCCTCACGGCCTGGAGTTCTTGTTCCGTGACTGTAGGAATGTCTCACAGGTAGGCATGTAAACCAGTATATCTTTTTTTATAGGACATAGCAGGTCCAAATATTTTTCTCCTAAGATAAGTAAGAGGACCATATTCTTAGAAATTAAAGGAAGGAATTCTGGCTCCTTCCAGGATAAGGATATAAAGATCAATTTGTTACAATAGATTTCATATTCAGTGAGAATTTGGTTCCCTGTCTCACATTTGGGTAACCTTTTCAAGGGAATAAGTGTGTGTTTTGACTTCTCATATTTAGACAGTCAAGTAGACAGTTAATGCATGCACAGTGCTTAAACAGAAGCTGGTATATAGGAAGACTGCATGCTTGCCATCATTATTACTTTTAAAAGAAGACAGTCTCCATAGTGGGGCAGTATCTGATCACTGTCACGTGAAGCAGCATAAAAACCTTAGAGAAGGAAAACTCAGTAAGCACAGGGTTGGGTCCTATTTGTTTGTCATTTCTAGGGGAAATTAGTTGTTTGTAGTAGATTCAGATAGGTATGATCTTTCTAAAGGATAGAGTACTCATATTTCAAGCCTGCTTGCACATTTTATTTTAATTCATGGGATTTAGTGAAAGTATTGTGTCTACACATTCAAAGCAATGCCAAGCAATTTTATGTATACCACTCATTTTTTCACCTGTAAAAGCTGCAGAGTAACTTTATATATGCCTTACTTTTATGGCTATAGAAGGTACAGCATGACAAACTCAATCTAGAAGGCAGCAGATGTGTAAGCAGGTAGAACCTGAGCAGAGTTAAGCCTGAAATGGGAAGGTCCATGGTTGAAAATGGTGGAAGGAATTCAGTGGTCATACATGCATACCGTTCCCTATTTTTAGTTTCTAAGAGAGCCTTGCTAATATCTCTTACTGCCTTTCTTATATTTCTGTACTAGTTTTTCCAGAAAGGAGGAGTAAAAGAAGCCCTTGGTGAACGAGAACTGTTCAATGCTGTTTCAGGCTTAAACATCTCGGCAGATAATGAAGCTGACTTTTTAGCTGAGGTGAGTGATAGACAACTATTTTCCCCCTGCTGGGACTGAGGATGCACAGAGGAGGTAACTGAAACCCAGAGCTAACTGCATCCTCTCTTCCCTTCAGAACATAATTAATTTGAGATTTTTCTTAAGATGTTTTTGTTTTTTTTTTCTGAGTTTTAAATTTAGAATAAGCATACAGCAAAGTACTTCTTCAAGGAGTTCCCAGCTTGGTCAAATGGGCAAAGCACACATTGCCAGTATAGTCTTATTTCCTTTATTTTATGGATGAGGAAGTTGACAAAGACTCTGGGTGATACAAAAATAAGTAACACATGGTCTCTGCTCTTCACTGAACATAGAAGGTTAGAAGTGGCCATCCTAGCTGGGTGTGATGGCTCACGCCTATAATCCCAACACTTTGGGAGGCGGAGGTGAGAGGATTGCCAGAGCTCAGGGATTTAAGACCAGCCTGAGCAACATGGTGAAACCTCATCTCTACAATAAATCGTAAAATTAGCCAGGTATGGTGGTACATACCTGTGGTTCCAGCTGCTTAAAAGGCTGAGACGGAAGGATCACCTGAGCCCAGCAGGTCAAGGCTGTGGTGGCTGTGAGCGTGCCACTGTACTCCAGCTTGGGTGACAAAGTGAGACTCTGACTCAAAAAAAAAAAAAAAAAGAAGTGGCCATCCTTATACCTAGTCATTATACTATCAGATCTACAAAAAATGAGACAGCAATTAATTATTGCACATGTTTTACCAAAGCAGAGAATGATTACTGAGTCTGCCCCATACCTTCCCATTATGACTTGAATTTGGCTGAGCTGTGCTGAGGCCTAAGGCCAGAGGAAAAGGAAGAGAAAGATGGTAAATTCAGCATCCAGCACAATATAGGTGCTCAGTGAGGGGATTAACTTGTTGTTGAAAGTTGAATGAATGTTCCTTTTTTCTGTTCCTGGAGAGCTTTATAGAGCACACAGTTAAGACACGTCTTAGTCCTATTGGTAGCTTGATAAATATACTAAATATTAACCCCAGTAATATAATCAAGTACAAAACCTACATGTATGTGTGAATATATGTGTACACACAGTGATTCCAGTTCAAGGCCAACATCAAGAATAGTTTCAAGAGAGTAAACATACCAGCTCAATCTAAAGAATGGTTTCTGTGAAGTAAGATTTTGATAAACGAATTCAATATATTTGATAGATAGAAACTTTGGAGAAAATGAATGAAGATCACGTTCAGAAGAATGGAAGGAAAGCCGCTTCCTTTTTGAAAGACGAGGGAGGCCCGCCAGTGCCATGTGATGAATAGCACCAGCACCCACTGCCTTCAGTGTTAACGCCATGGTGATTGTCAGCCACCCACAGCCAGTGAAGTGATTGGTGACCTGAAATACCAAAACGTGAGGAGCGTACAATGGTGCTTCGGTGCTTTTCCCCCTTGTAACCCATGTGCCAGATGTGTGGAGCTCAGCTCAGCATTGAGAGAATAAAATGTCACTACCTCTCATCTTATGAACAGGATAATATAATTATTTAACAGCTATAGGCTATCAGGCTGAAACAGACTTAATTTTACATGCCTCGTGGTATAAATGTTTTGATGAGAATTTTTAAAACTTAGGTAGCATTTCCAAATATGGGAGGAAAGGACAGATGTGTTTACAAGGGAGGGTTTTATTACAGCATATTTACTTTATTCACTTCCCTGTTTTGTATTGTGTCTTTCCTCAAATATTTTATTGGCCCCAAATTAGTATTCCTCAGTTCTAAAATTTTTTCTCTAGTGGGTATTGCAAATGGAAATTAGGCTTCAGAATGACTGATGGGAATAGACATTGGCACTGTACTTTTTATTGATATATCATGAAAATGAATGGAACCCTACTTTTTCCATACTCCTAGCTAAGAAAAGGCATCATAGGCATCTGAAAGAAATAAATATGTAAGAGCTTCTTAACTATCCAAATTTTTTAATTTAATTTTCAGCTTTTCTACATTTAGGTTAAATAGTTCAGATATAACTCATGGTGTGGCTGCTCTACATTTATGATGAAATGTAAATTATCTGGAAGGAGAGAATATAAGACTTAACCACGTTTGACATATTTTAATGAAGTCAGTGAAACAAAGTTGAATTTGTATTACTAAAACCATACACTTATGGATTGATTTTGAGAGAAATATAGCCAGTTAATTGGAAATATAATTAATCAAAGGATGAAAAGTATATATAAAACAACTTGGATACCAAATTAACCAACTCATTTGGCCTCATTTTTAATAATTTTTTTTTTAATTAGATTTTAGTATTGGCTGGACACCACTTTGTGGAAAAGTATATTGGCTTTGTTAGGATTGAAAGTTCATTATAAAGATCCAAACCTGTCTGGTAATAGACAGTAACAGTCAAGACATCATTTACAATTTGAAAGCTTCTCTTTTAACATCATTGAAAAATGCCAAATATGTTATTTCTAGAAAAATATTTATTTTTGTTTTGTTGTATAGCTCTGAATTGCATTTCAGAGAAATGTGATTTTGAGTAGATATTCATTACATTTTTGAAATGTTTACTACTCTGAAATAAAAATTTAGATGACTGGTGATTATTGGCTTTACAGAGGTTTCAGAGAATGAATTTTTAAAACCATTAAACATCTAAAACTTGTTCTTTGTCTGACATACTCTGATAAAGAACAGCAAACCATCGCTGTGTGGCATTCTTGGAGTGTGCTATGAACATGTTTTTTGAGACATTAAAGATGAAGCGATCATTTTAGAGTTGGTTCTTTGTGTGGTTTCTTCTCATTCTTTACATCCTGGTACTAAGTTACCCTTTCTGTATAAAGTTAAGCTAAATAGGTTTTTTTCCTCTCAACTTCTCATACTTAGTTGAGAGTGAAATCAGATGAGCTTTTTTCACATAGTAGAAAAAGAATAGTACAAAATGTGGGTTTGCTAAATAAGTAATCAAATACAAATGGAAAACATAAAATATGGAAATAGGGATATTTTTGCCTCACTTTAATAGAAGTATATATATGAATAGTTATAAGTTATCCAAATAAGTATGACTAGAAAATTTTTATTTCAACAAGATAATTCATTGCCAGTTTTCTTTTTATAAAAAGTTCTATTTTTTTCTTGCTTACAAAAGTAAGACATGTTCATTTGAATTTAAATGTTGCAGGAATTAGAAATGTTAAAGTTCCTTATATTCCAGAAGCCACTGTTTATAGTGTGGCATATATCCCTGCCAATTGTGGTATGTTATTTTCTTTAAAAAAAAAAAAAAAATCTGAATAGAAAGCAGGATGAGAGCAAGGCAGCTAGCTGGTGAGAAAGTGCTGGGCCTGGAAGACTTGCTAAGGAAGATGAAGATACAGAGGCCTGAGATGCAGGAGAGGGAGCGCATTTTGTACTGCTCTGGGCATCAGAAGAGATGATTTTCTGCACCTTTTGAAAACCAGCATCTTTTCCCAGAGCTTTAGAAATGGAAAAAATCTCATCTGATTATATTTTCAAACCTCAATCCATAGTTTTTGAAGATTCCTATTTTTCTATTGGATTTTTATCAGGATCACATAAAAAAATAAGTTTTCAGTTAATTTTCTATTTGGAGACATTAGCATTACTTTCACTATCCTAGGCTTTCCAACTTTCTCCCAAACACAGCCAGCTTTTTGAGGCATTGAGATCAAATATAGTAGACAAACTAGCAGATGGAGTGGAAGGTGGTGTATTGCAGAATAAATGAGTGAGCTACTACTAAAAGTGCTATCAGCTTTTTAAAAATGTGCGCCACGGGACTCAGCAGCTCAGGCGGTAGCAGGAGCAGCGACAGTCAAGCAGCCCAGCTTCCAGAAGGCTCTGGCGTGGCCCCCAGACACCTGGTGCCCACCCTCCCAAAATTTCAGCTCAGCCGAAGGACGATGAAGGAAGAGCCCAAGAAAAGGCTTGTGTGATGTCCATGTAGCCTCCTACCAAGGTAGAAACAGCCCAAAAGAAGGCAGCAGGAAAGAATACATCTCCAGGAAAAAAATGAACACATCAAATAGCATACTTGGAACAGAATCATAACATCTGAGTAAAACCTCAAATGAGCTTGATATTAACATGTAGTAGGTTTATTATTTTTAAGTGACTTAATTTTTTTAAACTTTTCAGCTTAAAATTTTAATATGGAAAATATCAGTTGATAAAACTCACATAAATAAAGCTCAAAGAGGTTCCCAATTCCGACACAAGACTTATTAAATTTTTAGTACATATGTTTGGAATTGTGTACAGGCCATGTGTAGTGGTATATGCTTGTATTTGCAACACTCTGGAAGCCTGAGAAAGAAAGATAGCTTGAAGCCAAGTGTTTAAAACCAGCTTTGGGCAATATAGCAAGATCCCATCTCTACAAAAAATCAAAATCAAATAATTGGCTGGGTGTGGTGACCTGTTCCTGTAGAAGTAGCTATTGAGGAGACTGAGAGGATCACTTGAGCTCAGGAGGCTGAGGCTGTAGTGAGTCAAGATCATGCAACTAGAAGAAAGACCTTGTCTCTAAAAAAAAACATTGTATATAAATTGTAATATCTGTGTACTGATCCTCAACACCACAACCAATTAAATCTCAATTAAAAGAGAAAAAAATATATTTAATATTTTCCAGGACATAATTAACACATCAAATAGCATATTTGGAACAAAATCATAACATCTGAGTAAAACCTCAAATAAGCTTGATATTAACATGTAGAAGGTTTATTATTATTATTATTATTTTTGAGTTGGAGTCTCATTCTGTTGCCCAGACTGGAGTGCAGTGGCCGCCGGCCACTGCAGCTTCGACCTGCTGGGCTCCGGCGATCCTTCCACCTCAGCCTTCCGAG